CGGTGGACAGTGCTTGTCGCAGTTCCTGCCATGCATTCACAATTCGAGTGGCCAGAATGTCCGGGTTGTGGTGCTTTCCATCAAAGCCGATGTCATCGACCCAGCCATTGAGGTGTAAATCCGGATGCTGGGCCTGGAAAGGGCTGAGGATGGGCTGCAGAAAGGCCTTGGCTAGCAGTGGAGCTTGGGGGCAGCCAGCAGCGACGCCGTGGGTGACATGAAACCAATGGCTCAGTTCAGCATCAGCAAGCACTGCCTTGGGGCCAGTGTAGACCTGCATGGCAAATTCTAGAGCCAGTGGTGGATACTCCAGTGCTTGTGCCACTGTCTGCAGCTTCTGGAGGTCGATGGTGTCATAGAAGGTGCTCATGTCCAGCAGCACAGTGATGCCGTGCAGGGCAAGTGTTTTGTTGCTCTCTTGTCTGAGAAGTCTTTCGAGAGCGACGTGGAGTGCTGTTGCCCCTGGTCGTGCTCTATCGTAGTCCATCGATGGAGGCAAATTGAGTTGCCAGGTGTCGAGCATGCCCTTGCGGAGGCGGCACCATGTCCTGTAGAGGACGCTTGTGAGGGTGATTGGTCGCTCTACCTTCTCGTTTTTTGCTAACATCACCACCAGGCTCATCTGGAGTTGGGTTGGCAAGGTGGCTGATTTCTCCATGTCCTGCAGGAGCTGGAGCAGACTGGGCAGGGCTTGGGGTGGTGTGTTCCGCAGGAGTTGTGTACTGATGGCATCTGGACCGCATGCTCGATCCGGCAGTTGCTTGAGAACTCGAGCCAAATGCCCAAGTGTGAGTGGTGGGAGCTGTGCTGCCTGTGTGCAGGCTTGGTCGTGCAAGGAGTCACGGTTCAAGGGCGTGTTGTCGCTGGTGGGTTGCCAGTGTTGATGCCAATCATGTAGTCGATGTCTCATTCTGTCTGCCATGGGGACTGTGCGGTATGGGCGTTGCCAGGCTAGCTCGCTGGCCTTGAGGTTTCTAAAGAGGCCTCTGAGGCCCTTAGCTTCTCCTTGTCGGATCCAGGCTGCATACTGAAGTTGTCCCTCTGTTCTGGATTGTTCGAGCGCTTGTGTGAGTTGGTGCTGGATCGTGTGTTGCATGAGCTCAAGCGTTCGTGGATCTTTATGCTGGTGCCAGTGTTGTGTCATGTCCAGGAACTGGGCCCAGGCTGGTTCGCCAATCCAGTGCTTGGGTGCGGATTCTGTGGCTTTGAGGAATCCTTGGATGATGCCTTGGGACGGGTGCTCTTGGTGCTGAATGTGTCCAAGTCGGACCTGTAGCTGCTCCCAATAGGCTGGTTTGCCCTTCTTCCAAATGGGTCCAACCTTGGGCGAGGTGAGTGGTTTGTACTCGGCCTGGAGGTTGGAAGCTCGCCCTTGTGGAGCCCAGGGGTGCTGTTGCAGAAGATATTGTTCAGTGACCGACGCCCAGTCTGCCAGATGTCTGGCAGGTTGGTTGGGCATGGCGTCGCAGAGCTGGATGTCTTCGACCTGTGTGACGTAGGTGTTCCATGGCCGAAAACCGGGATTCGGCCTGTCTGGGAGCGCTGGGAAGGTGCGCAACTGGTTGTAGTTCCTGAAGTCGTCTGGCAGCTCAAGAGCATATGTGACCAAACAATGTGGTCGCCAGGGGACTGCACTCCGTGGTCATTGATGTGAGTGGAGCCAGTTGGTTGTGGATCAGGGCGTAATCCAGCACATTGCCATTGAGAAGCGTGGCATCTGGGGCGAGAATTTGCCAGTGGAATTTGGAGCCCAAAACAGTTCCTTGAAATTGGCTTGGATGTCCATTCCAATCGCCCAGAAGGATGTACTGCCTGTTGGAAGCTTCGACTAGAGCGAGAAGTCGACCAAGTAATTGTGAGTTGGTTGGTCCTTGGATCGTCTCATTGGTCTTGAAGTAGACCGCAACGACTAAGATGGATCGAGCTTTGGCTTCCCAGAGAAAGGCCTGGTAGCCACATCCTTCGATGTGATAGTTCTCCAACTGTGTTACTCCATGGTGGTTGGAGTGGAGGATGAGGATGCCTCCGTGGTTGCCCTCGTTGTTCCTGTTAGTGTGGGCTGGGAGGCCAAAGGCATGTTTGCCTCTGACTTCAAAGTACTGGCAGAGGGTGTTGTGCTTCTGCTTGTCGAGGTGGGTCTCCACCATGATGTGGATGTCACTGTCGCGACTCCAAAGCCAGTCAAGCGTGTGCCTGCCGAAGGTAGTGATGTTGGCAACATGGAGTTTCATGCTGTCCTGTGTGTGTCGTGCCTTTTTGGGCGGTGTGCCGTGTTGCGGTGGATCATAGTCTGGTGTCTCAGGCTCGGGTAAGGCCCGCTGGATTTGCCGAGGCGTGACAAATGCCGTTGTTTGGACAGCCCAAATTTGCACGATTTGGCCCGCCAGTTGGGGCGTCAAGAAGGGCAAAACTATGGGATGCCCACCATCATCAGCGATCCACATCAAGTCACGGTAGACCAGGATGGCGAAGTAGTGGCCGCTGTCGTGTGTGGGTCCTCTGTGGCATATGTATGCTATTGGCATGTATTCAGCACTTGCCCTGGAAAACCCGTCCAGCGAGTGGGACGGTGAAGGCTCCGTGGGGGTTTAGTGCCCTTTTGTGCTTGGTCAGGACCCCATCATAGGTGACGGCTCGATTGATGTGTGCCACCAGGACAGTCTTGTCATCTGCCAGAAATTGTCCAAGACCTTGATTGGCCCAGTTGTTCATGAGCTCCTGCCATGTGATTTCGTCCAGGAGTTCGTCAGGGTAGTCCACAATGAGTGGAAGTTGTACATGTTCAGCCAGGTATCCTTGCTCCTTGATCTCGGAGTACCTGTATTGCATCACTCTTGTCTGAGAGCGAAGCCAAAGGGAGTTGACAAAGTGTGCCGCGTCCCCTTCGAGGTTCAGGTCATGTTGCTTCCAGAGATCGTCCAATCCTGGAAGGGCCTTGATGTCCACAGCCTCGTTGAGCTCCAGAGAGGTCTGGACGGCATCTTTCACTGTGCCCCAAGGCTCCAGATTAAACTCAGCCAAGTAGGCACACATCCAGCAGAATGCTCTCCAGGGAGCATTGGCATAACAGCGTGTGCTGGGATTTCCGATGATCATCGTCAAGTTCTGGAGGATGAGATCGGTTGTTGAGGCGTACTCGTAGTGGCTCATGTCTTTGGTGCCACGTTCAGCTGACGCAGTTGTCCCCTGTGTAGTGGAGGATGTGCCACCAGTCAAACTCACAAAAGGTTGGCCATTGCCGCTGGTGGAGCTCGTGTCAAAATTGTGACCAGTAAAAGGTTCTGGTGCAACCATGGATGCATTACCTGAGGTTGGTATTGATTGCTGTTCCCCTGCAATCGGTGACCCTGAAAAGGATTGAGCACCGTGGCACCAAGTTGATATTTCCCCATCAATTTGGTGACTTGTGAGATGCTGTCGTGATTCCGGATGTTCGAACACATTGGTTCTCAGGTCCGTGGTTTGTGCAAAAAATGGAGTCCTTGTTGAGCCGTGATCAGCGCGGCAAACCGGTGAAAGTGGTGTTGCCATGCCATGAGGCTCACAAGCTTGCAAGTTGGTGTCTGGTCCATGAAACTCCCCAAGAGAATTTTCGGTTCCATCACATGACCACAAGTCATCGTCTGGCAACGGAAAATTCCAGCCCTGTGTGGTGTCATGGGAGGAGGTGTTACCCGCAATGTCCAGGTGCAAGCGGACCAGGGCCATCAGTTTTGCGTCTCTTGGTTGGATCCTCAGGGTCAGTTCCTGAGCGCTTTAGAAGACCGTGGAGCTGAGTCTTTTGCTCTTCGGTCAAGGCAATCCCTAGATTGTGCACGAAGGACTCCACAGCCATGGGGATGTGTTCTGGCTCCGCCAGGCTCCCCGCGAGATCCGACGGAGTGGGTGTCTGGTTCACCGCTTTCATGTAGTCCTGGGAGAGCTGTTGCAAGGCTTTTTGCCCTTCAGCTAACTTCCCTTGAAGGGTTTGCATGTCCGCCAGCAGGGTGGAGTATTGGGCCTTTACTCCATCGATCTTGTCCTGGAGCTGGTTTTTCCTGATTGACAGGGTTTTCAATTCGGTGACTTGGCCTTTGAGTTTCGTGGCGATGTCACGTTCAGTGCATGGCTCCGGTGCCGTGAGCTTGGTGACGATCTGCTGGACTTGTGTTGGAAGTGCATCCATATGTGATTTGAGGATGTCAGTCAGCTCGGGTTCATCCGGTTTGGCTGGGCCAATGCCTAGTGCTTGTAGGCGGTTCTGGGTGTCTTCCGGCAAGGTGGTCCAGCTAGTGGCCAAGAGTTCGGTGGCTTCTTGTTGAACCCTTGTCTTTTTCAAGGGCTTGATTTTCCCCAGACCGGGGGGAGTCTCAGGCCAAGTGTTTCTTGCCTTGGAAGCAGGCCGCCCATAGCCCTTGCCCTTCCCGGTGCCACCGGTGGATGTAGGCCACCAGTTCCCGCACCGCCGACATTTGGTGTTGGGTTTGACCTTGTCAGTCCAAATCCAGTTGGAGCAGTCCTTCCGTGTGCAGGTCATGTAGGCTCGGCCCCATTGTGGTGTCATTGTCCCTGATCAGGAGCAGTTGTCCGGTTCGGATGAGGTCAACCTAGTTGGCAAACTTGGTGGCACCGATCAAGATCTGGCCTGAGGTATCCTGTAGGTTGAAGCCCAGTCACCAGGTGGGTCTCCCAGAGATAGCCAGGCGAGAACAGCCGGACACCAAAGATCTCGTCAGGGGTGGCCAAGGAGAAGACGGATATAACGAGCAAAGAATGTGTGGTAGTTCGAGAAGTCGAGAACCGTGGTCAAGAGAAATTCTTTGCTATGTTCGAAAGGGGATATCCGCACTTGCAGGACTTTATGGGAAGCCTGCTTGATCTCAAATGGCCTTGAGCCATGTATGTATGTATGTATGTATGTAGGTATGTACGTACGTAAAGACACACACACACACACGTCGTTTTGAACATGTTCAAGGCTTGTACTGGATGACTTTAATGTTGGTGTCTTGGGCCATGAGGCTTCGCGCTGCCTTTGTCGTCATACCCAACACCAAAGGCGGCAAAGCGAAATTCGTCCTACGTGTGACCCGGGGACCTGTCAATGCTTGTGTTAGTTTTGATTGTGACGGTTGCGCGGCTGGCACAGTGCAGGCCTTTTGGCAAAACTTCTGGTGAAATTTCTTTCTGGTGCTGGAAATACTGGTTTTCGTAGGAATTGTTTGATAGGGGCATGTTTGTTTTCTTTAGAAGATCTGAAACTTGCAAATCCTGGAGGTTGCGTTGAACGATCCTTGCAAGTATGAAGGTGGTAGACTATGTTTCTTTGTGAATCACCAGCTCCATGTGCTTGAACGGCCAGCTGGATCTGTATGCCAACACCCGTGTGGAGTGCTATATGGCGTCACAGCCTTAACGAAAGGCGTGCAGAAGAGCCTTATGGTGGTGGACGTGGCTGGTTCGGTTCACGGTGGCATGGTGCATGTGACCGGCGCTCATGTCCAGGGCTTTCTGGACCACCGAGAAGCGGTCAAGGCGAAACGCCGGAAGGTGGAGATGTGCTGCAATTGCTTGGCCAAACCTTCCGAGATTGCTTTATTTCCATGTGGCCACCTGTGCCTTTGCGATGATTGTTCGGGAGAGGGGATAAATCAATGCCTACGATGTAGCACACCAGTGAAGAGCAAGCAGAAGATCATCCTATAGCAGTGAGAGCAGGGTTCCGAGTTCAAAGAAACCTCGGTCCACATGGGCGGCCACATGCCACCTGTGTCCCGTCAAGCTTGTCGGCCTGCCGAGAAACCGGAATCCCCGTCGGACGATTCACCAACCGACAACCATGATGATCTAAAGTGGTCACGACTCAGGTCCGGCAGCGTTTGGGCGAAGTATTTCGAGAGGAACCACAAATCCACTGGGCATTGCCTCTGGAGCATGATATGTAATTGTATGTATACACTCTAGTTCACAGTTGGACAAACACATCTACACATCAACCTTTATTCCAAGTAGCCCTGGTTTCACTCCAGATGGAGATGGCTCTTCTTGGTACTGCAAGTTTGATGCTGGGAATGAACTCAGAACCGCCAGAACCGCCAGAAACTTGCCGGCCCCCCACTGATAACCCCATTGCATACCATCATTGGACAACCGTGTTTGGACCCCCAATTGGCCATTGGCCAAGTATATACTTTGATATACTTTGGTCATTTCTGGTTCAGAAAAACTCTGCCAGCGGCACGCTCCGGCGCGCTGAGGTCAGTTCCTGCGTAAATTGGCAGGATTCCTGGATCGGGCCTTTGGGGCAGTGCCGGGAGACCCGATTTGGGGACGCCTCCGCCTCGTTGGTGCGATGTCAGAGAGGGTCTGCTTGCTTCGAGAGGATGGATGATGGCTTTATGCCACAGAATCAGTAATTATAGCGTACTCCGGGTCCCTTCCGTGGCCCGCACGGCCCGCTGTTGCGAGGCCACGGCGGAGCTGGCTGTTGCCCTGGGCGCCGATGATGATGGACGCCGTGGTGCAGCTGGTCTCGCGCGGGGCCTCGGGGCCTCGATCGACGCTCCGGTCGGTTGGTCGGTCGACGCTCGGGTCGCCGGTCGGTCGACGCATGAGTCGTCATGACCCGTCCTGTGAAAGAGACCGATGTTGAAGGGAGGAGATGAGAAGTCCACAAATTTGGGGGGTGAGATCACTTGCTTTCCTGAAGTCAACGTGGTTTTCTCAGGGGGGGTGCCTTGAATCCTTGAATCTTTGTCCCTGTCCCTTGCTCAATCCCAAATCGGCAATCTTTTCTAGATAGTTCTAGAGTCCTCAACCTTTCGTGGTTGGTTCAAAGTTCTCTTTTCAAATTCATGCAAATTCTATGGCAAGCATTCTGAAGGTTTTTCAGAGTTTCAGGTGTTGGTTCCTTCGAGACCGGATCCTTTTTGAGATGGATCGGTGGGTTCGTGAGCGGAATTCCTCCGGGACCAGGTGCCTTGCGTTCATGACGTCCTCTCTCTATCGCAAGGGAACGGTTCTTGGGGGACATCAGGATGCATCAGGTGTTCTTGGTGGAGTCAAGGAGATCGCTCTTCTGGGTAGTATGTACCAGTTCTACGTAGGGCATGTACCTGCTAGATCCGGATCTTCCCCTTTTCTGTACTTCACCTCTCCAGGAACAGTCCTTAGATCAACGGCCTTCGGAACATGTTACACTGGACACTGGAGTGTCCCAAGACGGGAACCTGATGGAACCCGGTGGCGACAGTGACTTACGTAGCATCCCTTTTGTCGGGTCCGTCGCAGTGGTCGTGAGGAATTGCTTCGGAACCATCGTGTGCACAGGATCGCATCCGAAGCCTTTGTCTTGACACTGGATTTTTTGGGGTCCCTGAGTCATGACACCGGATTTTGCGGGTCGGCACGGATGTTGTTTTCACATGTTTTCACATCACTTGGGAGGTTGTTCTGTGATGAGATCATGATTAAGCCTTTGCACATTTTGGAGTGGTTGGCACGGTTTGGGAGACTCTAGTCTAGTTGACCACATGAGGAGCTTGGAAGACTGGACGAAACGACTACTCGGGGGTGTAGAAGATGTGTTTTTCGATGTTTTTCTCTTCGGCTCCTGGAAAGACGTTTCCGATGACTTCCATTTGCAGCTCCAAGAGATCCAACCGTCACTGTCACCTTTGCAGTTGGCTTCCTTTCTGCGGTTTTGAACACTGGTCGCGATCTTGATGCGAAGAACACCTGTTCGATCAAGATCGATAGACGATTGAGTTCAAGGCATGTACCGCGAAATGCTGGATGCAAGGTCCTCTGAGGCAAATACTACTGTTGGAAGGATCATTGCCTGACATTTGACAGAAACACAATAGAGGAGGGTTTCCCTGATCTCAGCCCAGGACCTCTTCCTGATCTCAGTAGCAGTTTTTCCATGTCAGTGGAGCTGTTTTTTGCCATACGGCCTGTGGGCCCCGAAGAGATGGCTCCACAGCCCCCCCGGTCAGTGTGGTTCCACAGGGCTGTGGAGCCATATCGGCGGTGGGACAGAATCCACAACGTGGGAGTCCCACCAGTTTGCCCCGAGGGATCTCAGCCCAGTGGATGTTCCACCGCCCAGTGGATTTGCGGACACTGCACAACTCGGGAACTTCGTTTCATCTGCGTCGCGCGGCGCCGGGGCCGCATCGCCCGCATCGCCCGGCTGTCTCTCAGTCGCCGAAACGGGCGAACTCGTCTGAAGGACACAGCGGAGAGGTTTCGAAGTTGGTCGATGGGAACTAGTTCTGTACCAGGTACAAGTTGACAAGCACCAGAAAAAGGACTCTGCTCAGCATGGTCAGACTCAATTCTGCACCCACTGCTACAATTTCAAGCAAGGTCGTCAGATAGGCTAATCAACGAGTCCTCAGGCGCCAGGAGATTACTTTCGAAGCAGAATCGCAGCTGCTTCACATCAGAGGGTTGAGTTTTCTAAGATTGCTTTGGATTCAGAGCTGGTCTGTTTTTGCTCACCGGTCAAAAGGATGCTTCATTAAAGAAATACGGTCCAGGACATGACCATGCACCATCATCCATAAGACCCTTCCAACCGCATTGACCCTTTTGGAACCCCACGTCTCCGGTTTCATGTTCGGACGGACACTCCTTTCGGGCGCCATGGCAAATCCTCGCGCCCGCCGTCGAGGCGAAGAGAGCGGGGCGAAGGTAGCAGTGCAAGATGCAATATGGGCGTTTATGTTTTCTTCCATTTGGTGTGTTGGAGGTTCTCCTTGTTCTTTCAGTCGTGTCATACTCTGAATCAGCCCAAACACATCCCCCCCCCAAAAAACATCTACCCCTCCTCCAACAATCATGGAAGTGGAATTTTCCGGCATGTTCGTGGAGGAAAGCCGTCTTCGTTTCCGCCACAGGTCCACTTCCACCAAAGACGGTTGGATGGAGGGTACAACGGTATAACAACGTTCCATCATCGATGTGCGTCTTAACGCCGTTGCTGGCGTTCGGTTCCTTTTGTTCTTAGGTTGGAGGCCATCGCTAGTAGGTTGGAGGCCATTGCTATTAGGTTGGCAAGTCCAGGATTGGATGGGTGGATGACTGGGGCCTTTCGTGTCTCACGTCGGGTCAACTGGTTGTGGAAATTCCTTTCCTAAGGATCTTGAAACCAGACTGAACAAGTGTTGGCTTGCAGCTGCCTAGCCTTGAGGTTTCCTTTTGTAGCCCTCAGCCGTACCCAGTTTTCGCCGTGGGCGCCCCGTGTGTTCCAGCTGATGTGGGGATCCCATGCAGATCCACGTGTTCCCCGGTGAAGTCAACACCCCGACTCAGCAGATCCGGTCCGCTGCCTCAAGCCTCGGTCTGCGCGTCCCTTCGCTTGGAAGCGAAGAAGCCATGCGTGAGCCAAGATGCACGTTGAGCATGGTGTCGCCGCTCAATCCCCAAACTCATCAGGACACCTCCGGGGTGCGTTGGAAATCCATTGGAACCGTGAATTGTCCCCAAGTTGACTTGTTGGATGGGCCCTAGCAATCGCAAGCAGATCAATACCAAGTTCAGGAGGTGGCTTTAGTTTGCACGGCCTTGACCCATAACGGAAAGATGAGCATTTGAGAATCACCCAACAGAAAAGATATGCTTTTATGCGTGCAAGCCAAGCATGGCAAACCACATGGTGAAAATGTCGATTCACAGTGAAACATAAAAGAGGGGCGAGGAGTCCTTGTTTTAATCACAGCTTCCAACTCAAACCACAGCTGAAAACACGACGAGTCACAAAAAAGAACTTGTGCACTTACCAGCGTCGCAGCGTCCCCCTGTTTCTGTCGTCTTTGAGGAGCGAAACCTACGACCGAGGCCGGCGCCGGCCGGTGCCACGTGTTTTCTTCATGATTTGGACAGACCCCTTCAAGACCAACTCCGTATAAGTAACTCCCGTGTTCCGAATAATTCTGCATTCTTTTTCTTTAAAGGGTGCAGGCTTGACTTTGGAACAACAACCCTTGTTTGCAGATTGGAGTCACTGCACAGCACACCATTGCGGTGCACAGGCTGGTAAGCATTATGACTTGTTGAGGCCAAGTGCATCTGCCTCCACTGGGAATTTGTTTAACAAGTATACTGAGGGCGGATACTTATTTTTTCTTCGCAATTTTCTGAAAACATGTGAGCGCGACTGGTCCAGTCCCATGTCTATCCCACACCCCGCCCAACCCGTGGCAAGAGTTGCACTGCATTAAAAGGCAGCTCACAGGCCCCTGCAATTTCTTGAGTTCTATTGAAGTTTCCAGTCCAAAATCACTTGCTTTTAGGCCGGAGAAACCCTTGTTCACAGGCTTACATTCCGACATCAACTGCTGTAGACCGGCACTTGACGCTAGTGGAGGGGTGGCCACCAGGCAAGATGAAAGCATTGTTTTGTGAACTGAGGGTACCTTCAGCATTGTTTAATGAACTGAGGGTACCTTCAGGCTGTTTCGTGGCCACCCGTTGTTTGAACAGAGTTAGGGGGTTTTTGTCCTTCCATCGCATGTGGCCCTGCAGCTTCGCTGTCCTTTGTGCTTGGGACGTGCGTTCGGATGACACGTTGCACTTCAAGTGGATTGCCTTTGAGGACTTTCGTTCGGTGCTCCTGCAGCATGTCGTGCGTAGGTCTTCCTGTTTGTGGACAATGGAATGAAGACGGTGTTATTTTGTTTCCCATGACTCATGACCCTCCC